TCCTTAAGTTTCAGGTCGTGTGGCCTAAGGTGTATATCGATTCAGTTAACCTAAAGGGAATTTCGAGTTGAACCCTTTATTTAATTTACGTGTGTAGACTGTTCACGTTTCACTGCTCATGTCTACGGCTAACTTGTCTAATTCTAATTTAAGTACTACTCAGCTAGTGCTCGCCCGGTCTCTAATGAACCTAAATCTGCACTGTCCGACTCAGGATGCGAACCATTACAATGACTATATCACCAAACAAAGGGATGGTAAAGGGCCTAAAATCAACTTCGATTGTGATCTTAAATCTCTAATAATGTGAGACGTATATGTCATTATATAGAGAGGAGAGCAAACTGTTTAGTTTCCACTCAATGACATACTTTATATAGGTTAAAAATATTAAAAATACCTACAGATATAATCATTTTTTAGTATTAGGTTTATAATTTTAATCTTAATTTTCGGTTTTATCTTGCAAGTTCCATGCAATAAGTTCTTATCCTTTAATTTTCTACCGTTTCTTCTTTCTACCATTTTATTTTTTCCATTTCTTTTTCTTTTCTTTCATCTTCTAATTTGATTTTGTATTTTCTTTTCGTTTTTATTTCTTTCCTTTCTTCGTTTTTCTATACTTTCCTCTAGATTTTCTCTTCGCGTTGCTTTCGCTTTTCTATTCCTTTCTGTCTTTCTTTCCAGTTTATTCTTTTCCTGATTGCTTTCTTTTACTTCATTTTATTCTATTCTGTTGTTTCTTTCTTTCAATTCTTTCCTTCCCGCTTTCATATCATTTTCTTCTTCTTTTATTTCTCTTTTAAACACCGGTTCTTGTACGCTCAGTTAAGCAAGTCATCTTCGGTCAGTACCTCGGTGGGTGACCACTTGGAAATAACAGGAGCTATCCAGAACAAATAATTATTACTTATCTTTTCTCTTTCATATACATAAACTGCACATTTTTATTTTAATATACAGATATCCGCTTATACATTTTCCTTTTCATATACAGACAATGCTACATGTTATAAGTCATCCAGAACGTTACTTAAATACGGCGCGGTTTTAGTGCAGAAACGAAAGCAAAATAAGCAACACCTAAAACAACGAGGAAGTAAGTTAAGATGTAACGAAGATGGCGACTTTTGTCCGTCGCCTACAGGGTTAGTGGCCATTTTAGGTAATATTAATGGCTGCCCTTTCCCTTGGCGCTTATCTTCTGTCTCCGTAGCGGAAAATGCTGAGAATCGCGGCAAATTTATGAGCTGGAAGTGATGGGTCTTCAAATCCTTTTTCTCTCACTCTCTGAAAAAAAAAGTAAAAGTAAAAACAATTAGAGAGAGAGAGAGAGACAGAGTGATAGAGAAAGAGAGAGAGAGAGAGGTGTAGAAAGAGAAGTCAGCAAGATGCACAAAAATCCTGAGCAGCTTCTTTATTACAAGTGAAAATATGAGAGAAATATGAAGGCAGTGACAAAAAAAAAGGGTAGCAATATTATGGGATTGAAAGAGGGAAAGTTTGAATTGTGAACAGAGATCAAGTTTGAAAAATTCAGTAAACATTAAAAAGCAAGTGAAGTATCTCTGACTGGCATATTGATTGATGGAGGAAACAAGAATTTCGGTGACAGGAAATTTAAGGTAGAAAGAACGAGGAATAAATATAACATTTAGGAAAATAGTGAAAATTAAAATATATGAAAACTAAGTTCTAGAACATATCCTGTTATCAACATTGTCACACTTTCATCTCATTCACACTAAGATTTTTATATTACCACTATCTATCTATCTATCTATCTATCTATCTATCTATCTATCTATCTATCTATCTAAACCTTTTCCTATAGATAACTCTCCCAAACATTTCACAGATGTCTATCTCCGACTTTTCACATATATCTAAGTATTTTCAGAGGTATCTATCTATCTATCTATCTATCTATCTATCTATCTATCTATCTATCTATCTATCTATCTATCTATCGCAGTCTGTTCATTATCTATCTATCTATCTATCTGCTTTTGACTCTTACTATTTATATCCTTCTCTTAATATTTTAACTTGCTTTATCAATCTTGAGCACGTCTTTTTCATCACTTCTTAACTTTCTACCAATCTAAAAACTTATTTCTTTTCATTGAATTTTTTGTTCATATCTATTTTAATATGTCTCGTACAAACAACTGGCTAAATCCACTTTTCCAAAACTTTATATTCTTACAGATCCTGATGGTGAAGCCAAGCGTTCGAGGACATCGTACACCCGACACCAGACGTTGGAGTTGGAAAAAGAGTTCCATTACAACAAATACTTAACGAGAAGAAGGCGCATCGAAATTGCGCATGCGCTGAATCTTACCGAGCGACAAATCAAGATCTGGTTTCAGAATCGAAGGATGAAATGGAAAAAAGAACACAAATTGTCGCATATTGCCAAGAACATGAACGTCTGTGCCCCATTAGACAAGGGACTCGATGTCGACGACAAGACAGTGTTGTAAAAAATGGAGAGAGAAACAAAGTAAGAAAAAGAATTATGGATAGAGAGAATGGTTAAAAACAGTATGGTTAAATGGATTTAGATATATCAAACAAGACTGAAAGAGTTAAAATCACAAAGGCAAATTGAATGGCTGAGAAATGAAGAAGAAATTTGAATCATGCAGACGATTGCAATAAATCTTGTTTGGGAGCAGATGTTAGCAGACGATTTCATGGAATACAAAAATATATTTAGAGAATTTACAACACATCATAATTATTACGATGACAGCATGGAAAACTTCATAGAATTAATATGGAAGTGAACATGATACACAAGAAAATAAAATTTTAAAAAATTAATCAAAGTAAGAAGAGGGTGAATAAATTATAATTGCAACATGACTTACAGCAAGAATAGATATACCTTAATATATATATACACATAAATACTCACTTAAAAAAACTATATATACTTATAAATAAATACAGCATTATATATGTGTGTGTGTAGTATGTGTGCGCATGCGTGAGTGTTTGAAAATAATAAGAAAAAGGGATTTGAGTAAATATTAACTAAGTTGTCTGTCATCTGTGAAAGGTCACAATCTTGGAGCGCCAACGTCGGAATTAAACAAAGTAGTAAATTTTTTTCTGATTAATTTGTTACTATGTCTATAGAGTAGGTGCCACTGTCAAATATACCAACATATGTATGTACAAGTAAAAAGACACACAAATTCACCCGTGTTTCCATAATTCGACATAAAATTATTTACATATAACACTGACATTATGTTTATGTACAATCCTATAATTTTTAGCAGAATGAAGAATATCTATGTATTGATCTATCTATATAACTCTCGCCTATATATATATATATATATATATATATATATATATATATATATATATATATATATGAAATTGATGCAAAATTTTAGTTCATAAACATGTTGCCAAAAACAGTATTCTGATGATTGTTCATTAAAATACACATTTTGTGAATTGCATCGAGCCGAGAAATGTACTGGGTGTATTTAGGAAGGTATCTGTGTAATTTATACATAATTAACTGAAGATCAATGAGTGGTTGGATTTTTTTTTCTTTAAATTTTCTTCGGATATAATCATTTTCTCGTTTCTGGGTAGAATTTGGACAATGTCCTCCGAGCAATTTCGGTTTTCAGAATCGACTTTCAAAGATTTTCTTTTAACTGATAGTGCTGTGCCAATGGGAATGCTCTGTGTTTGCCTTGGCTGTTTTCGGTCATGTTTTATACGGCCGAAGCAAAATCATGTTAATAATAAAAATATTAACAACAACAACATAATAATAATAATAATAATAATAATAATAATAATAATAATAATAATATTTAAAGGACAATCATTGAAAATTACTTAATTCGTAACTTCATATACGAGCTTAATATCAATAACAGATTTTACTTTTTAAGTGTATTGATTAATTAAAATAAGGATATCTTTAAAACCTCCGTTGTTTTCTTTTTTTTTAAAAAAACTTAATCAATTCAAAGCCTACTTAACTATAACAACGAAGCTTCACACAGATGCAAAATAGCTATCATAATTAACTTCATAAGCCAAGATTTTAGAACGACATCAAAAATATAAGGCGAACATTAAGAAGAATTTTCCGAGCCAAATACTCAATAAACAAATTAACATATAGATTGAAAAAGGAATAAATCAATGTAATTGATAACAATAACAATCTATTTTACAAAAACTAAGTCATCAATAATCACAAAGTAGAAGAAACCCAATACGCTATCAATATACAATATCAATATACGCATATCGCAAAGAACAAACCGATCACTTACCATACAAAACGGAAAATCTCAAACATCATCACCTCCAAAGATATAACAAAAATCTCAACATTTCATTAAGCCAATGTTGTCTATGAATTCACTTGCCCATTTAGAGAATGTCTCTCTCTAATAATAACTGTTCAAAAAGCATACATTGGTTATATAATCAATATAATATCACGCCGTTTAACTTGCCATTTTTATGTTAATAGCACCCTTAAATCGCATATCGCCCAAAACGTAAAACTACTATACCACATAATGTGTAAATCAAAATTACCAAATATTATTTACGATAATATAAGACGTAATAATAAGGACATAAATTCCACATTAAATCAAGTAACGAAAATACTAAGCATATTTCGTAATAAAAGAAATCGATATAACATCAAAAAAGTCGTGTGAAGAATTAGTATTCAAAAAACCAAATAAAACGAGACGACACTGATCGACGAGTGAAGACGCGATAGTTGAATACCACAAAGGAAATTCAAATGTCACCATATCGCCAAAATTCTATCATCTCACAAAATATCTTTAAAATCTTACAAGTTCATTAGACAATTTATGTGAAAATCCTACCCAGGAACCAGAAAATTGGTTTGAATCCTAGAAAAAATTAAATAAACATGTCTTTAAGAAAGAATATTCGTCTTACCTAAAAAAACTGATATATTAAGAGAGTTAGTGAGAGAGAGAGATAGGGGAGGGAGGGAGAGAGAAAAAGAGCGAGATAGGACCGGTTAGATAGATAGATAGATAGATAGATAGATAGATAGATAGATAGAAACAGACTTAGATATCTTAGATATATGCAAACTTATATAGATATATATATATATATATATATATATATATATATATATATATATATATATATATATATATATATATATATATATATATATATATAAATACATACATACATACATACATACATACATACATACATACATACATACGTACGTACGTATTTGTTTATTTTGCCATCACTAGCATTAACGACAGAAATTGTATTTGTTTAATAGTGAAGTAAAAAAAAAACCTGTTTAACGAAAAGTATTATTAGGTAAGTAGTGCAGCTAGATTCCGGGATTAACACAGTAAGGGACACTTATATTCTGACAATAAGTAAATGGGAACAAAATAAATAGAAAAATCCACCCAGTTAAAGAGACAGAAATAAAAATGATAGAAATTTAAGATTACTTCTTTTAATCAATATTCTTTAAAAAGGTTTTCAGAATTAAAAATGTTTATTATTTGCCGCATCGATGCACGAGTGAATTTCTGCGATAATTTTTTATAATATTTACAAATATTTATAAAATTGCATTCGTTCTTGAATATTTTAAATTCTTTGGCCTGAGAATACGATGCAAACAGAAGAGTTTTACAGTAAATTGTAAAAATAAAACTTTGATTTTTAAAAAAATGGGAATGTCATCATGAAAAAATAGAGGCTGTAAATGAAAATTTACTAAATTAATACAAATATAGAAAAAGTACAAATTATCATTATTATTAATATTATTATTATTTTTTATTATTATTATTATTACTTTCCTCAATTCTCATCCATTTATAACTGATGATGTAATCAAAACAGAACTGAGAGAAACGGAACAACTCCTTAATCAAAACTGTTAACAAATCCATTAATTGATGGATGAAATTAATAGAAACAACAATAACAAATCGTATTCCTATTTTATTGCTGATCCTTTATTGTTTAGGGGAAAGGTGTTTAGTTTTGCACGAGTTATGTCCCGTTAGTGATATTTATTCAAAAATCTCGTATCTCGTCGATATGGCAAAAACCAAAATAAGAATATTGACAATCCTAGTTATTTACTATGTTAATCATGTATGAACGGTCTTATAGGAAACCTATCTAATTAGTGGTAATTAATTAAATAACTGTTATTCTTATTAATATAATTAATGTACCGTGTTTACGAAAATGTCTATTAAAATATTGTTAATCTACCTATAAATACATATTCTGCAAATATATAGATGCACGCTCACACTGTAACACACAGACACTCTCTCTCTCACGCTTACACACACACACACACACACACACACACACACACATAAACACTAAGTTCCGTAAGCAGCTCCTTGATTCCTTTCTAAACTTGACTTTAGATTTGTACAAATGAAATACAAAATCAAACTAAAGTGTTTTATATATTTACGATATATTTTAGATACTTAACAGCATGTTAAGATCATTTTCATTAAAATATTTTTTTCATCAAAATAATTTGTCATAAAATGTAATTATTCTTGAGATAATCATAAACAAAACAACAAAAGAGAAAAAGGATTTTTAGCCAAGAAAACAACGCTTTCTGAATACGTAATATATGAATTGAGAATTGTTTAAAATTTAGATTAAATCTAAACTCATCCCAGAAAGGAAACAAATATGATATCTTCAAGCTATTCATCTTAAATAGAAAGTGCATTAATAATATAACAATCGTAGCAGAGGTAACGGAAGTAACGAATATTATATACCAAAATTAAAAGCCATAAAACCGGAAGTATGGAGCGGAAATGACAAAAAAGTGAGACAGCAATAGACACCCACACAGACAGATCAGTAAAAGGATAAATAAAATATAATCTACCTCACGTCTGCTATAATCCAAATCAAGAAATTAAAGAAGAGAAAATTTGTGATCTCAAAATTACTGAAAAACAAAAAAAATTACAAGAAAAACAGAAAGTAAACTGTGAAAGTGGAACCTCCCCCATAAAGAAGGATCTAAAAAGAAGACAAATATTTGAAAAGAAATCACTAATAAAAGACGAATTTTATATGCGAATGGAACAAGAGGAAGACAACAATATAACCGATTGCTAGTATTTAACTGTAAAAAATATGTATAAATACACACACACATATACCATTTGATTTTATAAAATGTGAATAACAAAGATAATAATTTCGATAATGATAATCTTCTCAGTAATGGCCGTTGTCATTGTTCAATTACATAGAGATTCTGTCATTGTATGAAACTTGTTGAATTGAAGCTTTTCTATTTTCATTTTTATCAACATTTATTTTCTTTTTATTGTAACGATTACATTGCCATTTTTAAGTTGAAAAATGATTATTTTAAAACACATTTTCTCATATTTATTTCTTTTTATCATTTTTATTTCTTTTTTTTTTCCTGGTCGGTCAAAGGGTAAATGTTACAAAAATTCTCACATGAAAAAATTTGAATGAGAATAAAAGACACACGAGAAAGAGAGAAAAAAATAAAATAACGATTATTCTTCTTTAAAAAAAAAAAAAAGGTGGAAATATTTTTCTATCTCCGAGAAGAAAATTATAGAAAGAAGGAAAAACTCACAGATATTTAACGCTATATAAAAATATATATAATTTACAGTGTGCAAATATGTCAAATGTTTTCTTTTGTATTGATAAGTTACATTTTTCCTTTTCTTTTATTGAAACGGAATTTAAAAATATGAGTGAGACGAAATGGAAATTTTCTTCTTAAGCGAAGAAAGATTTGAAAAAATGTAAAGAAATCAATTTATTGAAAATTATAAAAAAAAGAAAAATTAAAAAAAAAAAAATGAAAGAAAGAAATATAAAAGAGTAATTTTTTTTTCGGAAACGAACGAATCCAAAATGGTGGATAATACAGGAAATACCAACCGCGGATAAAATTTCTTTGAGAATAATCAATGAGAAGTAACATATTGAAATCGTAAGCAGGGTAAAATTCATTGTCAAAACAATGGCACAGCAATATAACATCAGACACAAAAAAACACACAAAAAAGCACAATCAAGGAATGAAACACAAAAACATCTAACAAAAAATATATAAAAGCATCACAATTTTCCACAAATAAAACTCGAACATTGGTAAAACAGAAAGTGAATATTTGTGAACTTTTTTACAGGGAAATAAACAACATATTATAATGGGTTGGGGAAGGTGCTATAGGCGCCAAATCTTGGGGGTGACACCACATTATTTTCCATTATAACAATTCATTCAAGATTTAAAAAAAAAAAAAAAAAAAAACTGTTTTCAAGAGGCGCCTTTTTTATTATTTGATCTGCAAATCTTCAACACTAATTACCGCACGAAGAAAATAACGAGTGTTGGATTATTATTATTATTATTATTATTATTGTTTTTATTGTTTTACTTTTTGTGTCCATATAATAACAATAGTTGAAAGGCACCCATTAAAAATTAAAAAAACTCTCACAAACACTCACTCAAATCTCAAAAAATAATCACATACTTCATGAAAATATTGACTGATTTGTTTTCATTTTAATCTGTGCGAACTGTATCATGTTTACATTATACATATATATATATAATTATATATATATATATATATATATATATATATATATATATATTCCATATATAGAGATATATATATACATGAGTACATACATATAATTGCAATTTCATTTTTCTTTTATGTTTTAACATAATAAATCCTTTTATACGTACATGAAGTAATATATTCAGTACGTAATAATATATATATATATATATATATATATATATATATATATATATATATATATATATATATATATATATATATACATATATATATATATATATATATATATATATATATATATATACATATATATATATATATATATACATATATATATATATATATATATACATACATATATATATATATATATACATATATATATATATATATATATATATATATATATATATATATATATATATTTTGGGCTAATTTTGCTAATTTAAAAGTATACTCCATGTATATCCAAGCCTGCTTTGTCAATAAGACAGAGGCATGTCTTACTGGATCAAGTGATTAGATTTCGAACCAAAGTAAGAAGCTGATATTTCGAATTCTGTTTTTCAAAGGCAGACATATATTCCTCACGTGGAAGATTTGTGAAACACAATCTTCTTTTATCCTAATATCTGTGCTACGCTAAGCGTAAACTTGGTAAATATATATATTTTTTGTGTGCGTGTGCATATCCATGTGTGAGTGACTACCACTGGTGTGAGTATGTGCCTGTGTGTGTTCTTACTAATTTTTACTTAGAATAGCACAGGTCAACACTAATAGAGAACAAACACAGCAATGATTTATCTCCTGACATTACTAAATGTTCGATTGTAGCTTGCCAAATATTGCTCATATATATATATATATATATATATATATATATATATATATATATATATATATATATATATATATATAAAAATTTTGTGTGTTTGTGTTTTGTCGGTATAAATACGTATTGTACGTATGCAGGTATAAAGAGAACTTAATGTTATCACAAATAATCTGTACTGATTGATTTGTCGAGAAAAAATCTACATAAGTACAGTTTATATGTAAGCTGCTTAACGCCAATGTTAGCAGACCATGAAAAAAATAAGGCATGTATGTCCGCATGTATATATGTATTTATATATGTACATATTTACATGCATGTATATATTAAAATTTATATATGTATGTATGTAAGACATATTTTATGATGTAGATCCAGTTTGTATGATGCTTTTAAATTTCTGTTATATGAACGTATTGTAATATAATTCTTTCAATGTATAAAACATATCTTGCGTTTGTTTTTTCTAAACTTTTCTAATGATTTGACATTTATTTCAGAGCATCTAAACACTAATGACTAACAGTAATAATTATTATGATTATTGTTGCACAGAGGACAGTTAATGAGAGAAGCGAATCTTTATTAACAGGAATGTGGCATGAC